TAAGTATCAACCATAACCATTAATCTATATATTTTATAAAGCTTATCTCATCGAGGATGCCAGAATCATGTGTCCTCTCTTCCCCAGGATCACATGGTGACTCTCCTCTTTATTACATTTCCCAGAATCCTCCTCGACTCCTAGCCCCACCTATCTTGCTTCCCTATTGGCCAACAGTGGCCAATGCTTTAATTATCAACCAATACCACAAACATAAACACAGAAGGACTTCCCCCATCATCTCTTTTCTGTCTAAATAAAAAGAAGGGTTTAACATTAAGATAGTAAAATATATAACAAAACAGTTATCAAGTAAGAACTATAGTTACAATATTTAGTTCATTAGCATTTAGTAAGATTTTAAAGAAAACATTCTATCATCTATCTTATCTTTGTGAGTCTAAAGTCTTATATGTAGCTTACCTTTTATAATAACTACAGAAAACTATAACCATAACTATCTGTCTTCAACTCCATCAAAGACCACAGAAGGATAATATATAAACTTTAGATCTGACAGAGACATCTCGCTGCCTGGACAGTCACATGAAGTTGCTCTGTAATGTTGGGGCATCCATCTTCAGCCTATAGGCCAGTGTGTCTGGCAGACTTCTCATGAAGCAGAAAATTTTAAACTGTCCACCTGCATTGGCAGTTTGTCAGTCAAATTATCTGTGTGTCCTGTAGAATCTCTGGCAGACTCCTCCATGAAGCAGGAACCCTTCAAGACCATCTTGTTTTGCAAGTTCAGCAGTCACTTTCCTGTGGGTCCTGCATGTCCAGTCTATCAAACAGTCCAGGCAAGAGCAGTTTCCTGCCCAAATGGCTAATCTTGCCATGTTGAAGGCAAACTCCATATTGAGTTTCTTCAATGCCCATCCTCCTTTCTGATGTAATTGGTGTGCCAGGAGCAGTTGTGTCTCACTGTCAAGAAAAACCCTAAACCATTTAAATGTCATATATTCCATAGGTCTTTGAAAGGTTTTAAGAATATCCGTCCATCCCAAATAAATCCCTGTATATCTAGAAAATCTAACTGTAAGTTTTGACTATTATATCTGACTATATACAATCTGTATTTAATTATGCATTACATTTTAAAAGATCTGTATAAACACAATACCTAAACAAGAGAAATATACATATCACAAAATTGACCTTAAAGTTGTATCAATAAATGAAAATCCATACCAATGCAAAGTATTCATTCCTATATTCTATTCCCCTTTTTTCCTTTTAAAAGAGATTGACTGTGACCATTACCATTTATAACCAACCCCATTTAAATGAAAACAAACATTTATAAACAATAAATTAGGAATTTGGGCATCGTTCATTCCAAACTGCTTCCTGCTGGTTGGAGGGCAATGGGGATCATGATAAAACACAGAAAACTGGCCAGGTCCTTGTTTTGTAGTCTGTAAGGCTGTATCATCTTAGCTGTTTTAGATGTTGGATCACTTGGGACACTGTTTCACAGGATCTTGCTTCATCAAACCATATTAGTTCTGGAAGGAATCCATAGTTTTCCATTTTCTGTGGAAACACAAGCAAAAACTCTTTTCCCAAGTAACCCATCCTTATATTTAAACTTAGACATCAAGGCATTTTTAAAATATATAAGTTGGATTAATTTAGCAGCATTTATAATCAAATGTCTTTTAGCAGCTGTTGCTTCTTCCCTAGCAATTAAACAATTTAAAGACAACACAATAGCATACAGTATCCAGACTCTCTGTGTATTTTACATCTTTATGTGGCTTTTTCATTACTCTATTTTTTTTACTTTTATTTTTTTTCTTTTATGAGACAGGATTTCTCTGTATAACTTTGGCTGCCCTTGAAGTCACTCTGTACACCAGGCTGGCCTTGAACTCATAGAGATCTACCTGCCTCTGCCTATGGAATGCTGATATTAAAGGTGTGCGGTACCAACACTCTTTCTTTATTTCAATTACTTTATCCTGTTTCTTTTCTCTCACAAGCCTACATATAGTCAAAAGCTGTATTTTGTTTTGCTTTGCTTTGAAAAATTAGCTAGACTTGAAAAAATTTCATTTAAAAAGCTATGCAGGTCAAACAAGATAAGTATATAGGCAACATGAGAATTGCAGCCACCTTGTGTTTGTCATTTGCTGTAAACAAATGTCAGGGGGAGGAGAACACAGGACAGCTGTGGAAAGAGAGTGAAGCAGCTCCCACAGGAACATGGTGTTCAGGGTCCTTATAGACTTTCAGAAAAATACACTAATTCAGGAAAGCTGAAAGAGTTTCCCAAATGCATCTCCTGGGACAAATATGTATAAATGTGGGTCATATGTCTCACTGGTGTGTGTGGACTTTTAAAGATGCTTGCTTTCACATGTAGGATACTCCAGTGGCCTGAATTACTTAGCGTTTGTCAAGCCCTGTAGAATCTAAGAACAATCGGCTTTGAGAGAGGGGACATTTAGTAGCAAGCATCCCTAGAGAGCACTCAGAGGCATTCTCTTCAGTCTTCTCCAGCATCCAGGTTGCATGTCTAGGACATAGACATGCAGGCTTGCCTAGCTGGAGGTTTTCACTAAATTGAGAGAGAAGCCATCTTGCATAGCTTAGCACACAACTTTGAACTAACAGGCCTCTAGGTTCAGTGGTAAGACTGACTGCTCCTGGCAACAGGAGACTCTCACACACATAGTGGAAAAGAACTGGGTAGCTCAGCAAAGTTCTGCCTAAGGTCTGATTGCAATTTCCAGCACACACACACACACACACACACGCACACACACACACACACACAGAGAGAGAGAGAGAGAGGGAGGGAGGGAGGGAGGGAAGGAGGGAGGGAGAGAGAGAGAGAGAGAGAGAGCTTGGACATGCTACCCTGTCAAGGGCTCACAGCCACAATCACCTCCACCCCATGCCCTTCTTCTGGGAAGCTTCAAGGGTCCATAAAAGGGGTCTGAGAGAGAAGAAGAATGTGCTCTGTCCAGCAGCTTCCTCAGACCCTGCAAATTCTTCAACAGAGTCCATTTTCCTTTTTCTCCCTGTTCTCTCTCTTTCTTCTGATATAGTTCTGTTAAACTATGCATTTGCCTAAGTAGAGAAACACAAAGTATCTTTTAAGTAAGTCTGTATGCCAAGAGGCTCTAAGCATTCACATGTAAGTTGACTGGGATTTACATCTCCTACACCTACTAGATTCATTGGTTCCTCTTCAAGCACTGGGCTGATCCATCTGCCCACTGACCACAGCTCTCAGTGGCACCCCACTTATTTCAGGGTAAAGATCAGTCCTAAGTTCCCAGTCCTTCCTCCTGCACCTTCGCTCTACTCAGTCACCTCCCTGCAGTCTCCCACAATGCACCATGTAGCCCACTGGACTCCAGGGACACGATTCCTTCAATTGCACTTTCTCCTCCCCTCACTTGGTTAACTTCTTGGTTTCTCTCTACTTCCTTTCTGTTCACATCCCCTGTCCTTGGCTCTCAGACACATCTTTATAGCATTTGTCACAGTCCTCATTTCACACTTTGTATGCGGCTGTATGAAGGGAGCCTCTCCAGTGTGTGGGCCTCAGGACAACAGCAGCCATGCTACTCTGGATTTGTGCCCTGTACTCCAGAGCCCAACACTACATATGGAGGTGCTCATACATACCAAGTAGGTGTAAACAGATACATACCAAGTAGGTGTAAACACATACCTACCAAGTAGTGTGTAAACAGATACCTATATCAAGTAGTGTGTAAACACATTCCTACCAAGTAGTGTGTAAACAGGTACATACCAAGTAGTGTGTAAACAGGAATCTTCAACATGGGAAGCATTCAGGTCCCTTTCCTCTGAAAGCTAATGAACTGTGCTTACTAAGTTCAAGGCCATAGAGGCTGATAAACCAGACAGACACTGTCTCTCCTCAGTGCAGTACCAACATAGCATACATTCATCTAACTCAGTCACCTCTTACTATTTTAAAGTAATATGCCCTAAGGTAAACACATTATGAGTTATGTGGTGTCTGTGAAGTAGTATTTGTAAAATTCTATTATGCTTTCAAAAGCTCTTTAACCATAAGCTTTGAGACATTTCAGGACCTGTTTTCTTCTTGTGTAAACTGCTTGTCACCAAGTGTGAAAGAAAGAAAACAAAGTAAGGTCAAGTCAGAAATAACCAAAAACTTTGAAAGTAGGGCTTTGCAAAACATGACAGAGTAAAGAGTCCACAACAGGTGTGCTGGGGTCCATTAGGAAAGACACCAGGAGAACTGCTCAGGGGGCTGCTGGGAAAACCAGAGCTTAGCAGAAGATTTGCGCTCTGCAGGGCTAACTAAGCCCCTCCAGGTCAGTGCAGTTGAATGAGCTGAGGCTGATGAAACTAAAACATGAGTGGAGAGGGAGTGAGGCTGCCTAACTGGAGAAATGACAAAACTGATGGGCTGGGGCACAGCACGCTGGAGACATGAGTGCAGCGCTTCACCACCTGTGGTGCTAGCCCAGCCAGGTCATCTGCAATGCATGTGCCCTCTTCCTATCGTCATAGCCCACTCGTTCTGATGCCCAGTTGGCCCTCAGCCCCCACCTGCATCCTCCTCCGGAAAGTCTGCAAATGAGGGCTTCCTCCTTTATCATCTGGCTCTGTTCAAGAAGGAAAGGGAAAGCCTCTGGCAGTTAAATCCATTCCCCTTCCCTTTTCAGTGTGCGACCTGTGAACATTGTGTGTTAAATGAGTTGCATGAGTTCCTTTGAGGAATGAGGGTTGATTAGAGAAGAGCGACGGGGAGTAAAGGCAGCTGGCTTGGCATTACACTGCATTGTTGCTTACTGGGCCTCATTATCCACACAAGGAGGGCTCCATTTCTCTGCTCTGTTTCTTCTGTTGAGTGCCCAACTTTGAGCCATTTCAAAAGCAGCTTCCCATGGGGGCTAGTTAAAGGTTCGGTAAAGAATCAGAGGGTTAGCATTAGGGTTGCATCTTGGTATGGAAAGACAGAGGAAATTGAATAAATTACAACTGAGGAGAGTCTTTGCATTTTAATTATTCATGGGGTTAGGAAGGTGTGCCTACTGAAAAGAGTGGAAAAGTTTGCAGGGCTCTGATCTGAGAACACATTTCCTACCCTCTTCAATGAGAAGAGGCTTGTAGGTGTACTTTCCTCTTTTATAACAAGCCATCATCTCCATCTGAGAGCAAATTAAAACTGTCCCCATAGCAGGGTTTAGCCAGCTGCTTCACACCCAGAGCTCTTTTGATGGTCTCTCCATTTGCCCACTTCACCTACACAAATTTTTAAGTCACAAATGGATGTTAAACACCCCTTGGTCCTGGTCCAAGCACGATTTGGAGGCTGGCATTGAATCTCACATTTATTATACGCAACATGATATTCTAGGTATATACACATTGGATAGCAATTAAATATAGCTAATCAACATTACTTTCCATGGCAGATAGCTTTATGAGAATGCTCACCCCCCATTTGCATTTTTAAGTTGAATATATTGCCATGAGCTACAGTCTCTTGAATATATTCCTCCTGTCATCTAATTCTACTTCTGTGCCCTCTAAAGTGTCTCCTCTACCCCCTCCCAAGCCTCTGGTTCCTGCCATTCTTACCCTCGGCTTCTAGAAGACTTTTAGATTCCATAAGAAACAGCATTTGCCATCCTGCAGTTGAAGCTGGATTCTCTAGTGTTAAATTCATCGAAGGCCCTGCCCCTTTCTTCTTTGTTGCTGTACCCCAGGAATATTGCTCTTGCAGACAGTCACCATCCACAGATTCAGTCCCCTTCTGTCCCTGTGCTGTGTCCTCCTGTTCCCTATTGTGTTGGAGTGGCACTCCAGGATAAAAAGGTCACTCCTACATCAGACTTCTGAATGGTTCAACTTGACAGGATGCATGATTTCCAATAAGCTCTTCTTCATATTGGGATCTGTCACCTCTGTTTGTTCCAGTATCACACAGAACACAGACAGGCTTGGAGATGCAGCGCTATTGACTGATACTCCTTTACTACCTAACGTGAAGGTCCAACTGTTGGATGTTCGATGCACTTATCTTCTATTTCAAACCAGCCACCAGCTCTTTCTATATATGTCAGCATCTTGTATCCTTGTGTAATTATCTGCCAAAAGGATGAGTTTCCCACCAGTCTCTGGGATGTTGTCAGCAGCTTCAGCTTCTTGCAAAAAACAAGAGACTCTTCAATTTATTCATGTTAATGTTAATTCCATTTAAGACCTTGAGAAAATGACAGCTCAGAGAGACAGGTCAGATGGAAGTAAGCAAAATGGATTGATACATTTTGGACAGAGTTCATTTCAAATGTGGTTCCCTAGTTCCAAAGAAGGCAATAAAAAACTGAGAGACATGTCCTACATTAAAGGGAACTGGGGACAATCCTCTGAACCAACGCCTACAATTAGCTGCCAAGTTCATGAGTGTGTTCAGTCTTGAACAGGAACTGGCCTGAAGGAAACCAAGATGTCTCCCTTCATCTGGCGTCTTTTTGGAAATGGACATACATTTGGACCTGGGTGAGATCCTAAATCATGCATTATCCCTTTCACTCCATTGTCTCTGCCATAGTACAAACCATCATCTTTGTAAGCCTAAAGTAATATTATCGCCTCTAATTTCTCCCATTCTTACTCAGATAACTACCAAAATTATGTTTCTAAGTCCCAGGTGTACTAAGTTTCTTGCATCCCCAAGTCTTTACCAACCTGCCTTTACCTGCAGGTGGTGATCCAGATATGTTCCCAAATTTGGATGAAAAGAAGGGAAGGAAGGTTATCCCTACTTCCCTAAATGAAATCCCCACCCTTCTCTGCCACTCTAGCCCCTGTTTATACTCCAATCATTGTTGTTCAGGGGGCATCAGTGCCATTTCACCCATTTATGTCTTTCCTCCCATACTTCCCAAGTAGAACTTTCTGTCCCTTTCTCTCATTATAACCCTTTTGCCTTTCAAAGATCAGTTGTAACCCATTGTGGGTCCAGCTCCTGCCTCTCACCTACACTCCACATGGGGGAAATACTCGCATGTGTTCAGTGGCACTCCAGTACTCCACTGATTTACTACATCATTGTTAAGCAATACAGTAGAAAAGAGAATATATATGAACATTCTAAACAACAATCATAAAACAAGTACCTGTGCAGTCAGACTTTCTTTGGACCACCAGCCCAAATAATGATATGGAGACTTCTTATTAAATATGAAAGTGTGGCCTTAGCTTGGGCCTGTTCTCAACTAGCTCTTAAAACTTAAATTAACCCATTTATATTAATCTACATTCTGCCACATGGCTCATCACCTCTCATCAATATGGTATATACCACTTCCTCTGTGTCTGGCTAGCAAATCCCATCTTTCTTCTTCCCAGAGTTCCTACCTCTGTCCACAAGTCCCACCTGTCCTCTCCTGCCCAGCTCTTGGCTGGTCAGCTTTTTTAAAACCAATCATAAGATGCCTTGGCAGAGACACATCTTCATAGTGTACAGAAAGATTCTCTCACAACATCCCTGTGCAGCCACCAGCCAGCTTTGGAAGACACAATGACAATGTTCCATGTCTCTTTTGTGCCCACCTCCACTACTACCTCCTGGAGGGAATTCTCATCAGTCTGCAGCCATTCCTCCACACATGGCCATCCGTACCTCTCAATGAAGCTTCACAACTTCCAGCTTCAAAGGCATGGTATCTTTGCTTTTTCAGCTCAACACTATGAAATTTATCACAAAGAATGCATAATAACCCTTCTCTACATACTTTACTACATATTTTACTACAGTAGTTTACTCTCACCCAATTATTGATCTGTGTATCCATTTTCCTGCTGAAGGGTGCCATAGTGGTTTCTAATCCTTTACTATTAAAAATGTTGTTACTAAGGAAATTCTTGAAAGGTCTCTTGATATGCATTGACAAGCTTTTCTCTAAGGTACATCCCAGGAACTTGAACTATGTATCTGAATGACTTCAAAATTGTGAAATAATGTCAGAAACGTTTCCAAATACTGTACTCAATATGTACATTTCTATATCCAATGTGTAAATCCCTGTTGCTCTATATCTGATCAACACTTGATATAAAATTTATATTCCTATAGTGAATATGAAACAGTATATCATTATTGTTTTATTTTTCTTCCTGATTACTAATCAACAGCTCTTCATATTTGAGTCATTTTTCCTCTATGATATATATTTTGATACCTCTTACCAACTTTTTAATTATTAACTTAGTATTTCCTTATTTTTTATACTTTCCAAATATTAAATATTTACTATATGCTTCAAATATCTTTTCCAAGTTTGTGGTCACTCTTTAAAATTTATTTTAATGAAATTAAATTTATAAGTCTTTCAAGATCAAATATATCAAAATTCTATACTGTTTGTATTTTTGTACTTTAAGAAATCCTATCCTATTTTAAAGTCCTGCTTTTTTCTAGAAGGTTTAAGGTTTGAAACCTTAACTTGAAACCTATTTATGTTGAAATCCATAATCCACTTGGAATTGTTTTTTATATGTAGCTCAAGGTAGCAGTCACCTTTAAAGGTCTTCATCCACAGCACTTAGTTGATTCTTTTCATTGCAAAATCTAATCATAGATTACGAAAACATTATATTTGTCTTAGTTATGGTTTCTATTGCTGTGAAGAGACATCATGATCACAGCATCTCTTATAAAGGAAAAACATTTAATTCGGGTATCTTAGATTTTCAGAAGTTTAGTCCATAATCTTCATAGTGGAACAGGGTATCGTGCAAGCAGACCTGGTGTTGGAGAGGTAGCTGAGAGTTCTACATCTTGCTCAAGTAACAGGAAGTGGTCTGTCTCACTGGGTGTGGCTTGAGCCTGTATGAGAGCTCAAAGCCTGTCTCCACTGTGACACCTATTTCAACAAGGCCACACCTCCTAACAGTACCACTCCCTTTAGGGGCCATTTCTCTCAAACCACCACAATATGTGATACTATGTTATAATCATATTTGTATCCTACACTCTCTCATCACACTTCCCACCTAATAGATAACCAGGACAGTTTTCTGTCAGAGCACTGTGGCCTTTGGGTTTCTCTTGATGTCTCTTTCCTGAGACGGCCCTTCTTCAACACAGAGCAATGAGTACCACAGCCTCCCTCTGTTTGGTTGGGCAGCTTCTGTCCTCACCCTGTCCCCTACAGACATTTGCATGAGCCGCTTCCCTGCTTGGTACCCCACAAGCAGAGCTAAGATGTAGAACTCCTAGAAAAAAGGAGTTGGTGAAGGCCAATCATTTCTTTTGCTTTGGTCCACCAGGCCCTATGATGTGCCTCCCTGGAGTATTAGGAATCCAGGGAAATGCTCCAACATAGGCATCCTCGTTCCAGGCTGTGTTCACATGATCTGGCATGGCTCAGACATCAAAGCTCATGAAGAGGAAGCTGGGAATGTAGCTCAGTTGGTAGAGTGCTTGTCTTCTGCACATAAGCCATGGGTTCCATCCCTAACACTGAACAAACACATCTTTAAGAAATACCTGTTGTGGCTTCAGCTGCCAGTTTGCTTTCCTGCAGACTGCCAGTAAAACGAAACTTCCTGTGAATTTTCTTTGCTTTTCAACTACCAGTGTGAGCTAAGATGGCACTAAATACAACAAGCATGACATTCTTTTCAGAATTAGGCAAGTGTGAAAGAGAAATCTTCCCATTCGTAGCCTAGACATACTCAGGTGTAATTTTTTATGCTTTCTATTCTAAGCAATCAAGCATAGATTTATTCCTTTTTTTCTTTAACCAGGGTAAACATCTCTAAAAATGCAGATGAACACTGCAAATCACTGAGGGTCATAAAACAGCCTAAGTGTTATGAGCCTGGATTTTGGCAGATTGTGACTTAGTGATTAAGGACTGAATAACCTCAACTTTGTCATCACGTCAGAGAGATCACAGCACACGTACTTTGCAGAGTTTTTGTACTAATTAAATGCGGGGATGAATAATGTTAAAATACTACCTCATGCATTCTAATCCATTAATCAATTAAAGATAATGATGGCTTGTAATAACGAGGAAAGAAGGAAAATAAGATTGATGAGATGACTCAATCCCTATGCTTTGGAGGTATATATCTATATAGATCAATAACACAAAATCAAGGTTGAGTGTAGTAAGGAGATATAACTGTCATAACTATATATTTTTTACACCTATAATAATAAATATATTATTTACAGGCATTGAAATACAACCTGGCAATTAAATAAGTTCAAGAGAGGATTTGGATTCACTATCAAAAATTAGACTTTCTCTCTAGATAGTATTCTAACAAACAAGTTAAATATTCCTAAAACTTGCAAGATAAGTGATGTGGCAAGCACAAACCCCACAAAATGACACAGTACAAGAAAAGGAATGACTGTCTATATGCCCAGGGAAAATAGCATTAAACAGAGTGGTTATGGAGGACACTCAAAGGCTAAAACTATAAAGAGTAGTGTGCTGGGACTTAAGAATGCTGGACCAATTCTCAGAGAATAGTGGCATTAAAGAGATTCAAGCGTTTGGACCTGGAGCATGAGAAGAAGAAAAGGGGTCAAGCGATTCAGGGCTAAGCCAATTTTGTTATAAGAACAATAGAATTGTGTGCCTATATTATATTCTTATAAAAATGGCTTGTTAGGCTGAGAGTATGCATTAGTAGTAGAACATTTGCCTAGCATGCACAATCTCCTAGCTTTGATTCTCCCCATCATAAATGCTCCCTGTCCAATCTCACAGAAGCAATGATCATCTGCAGTAGGAAAGGTGAGTTGTCTCCTGGAGAGACACCTTGGAGGAGATGAGATTTAAGTGGGGCCTTGGTAGAACTTCATCAGCTGGACATGAAGAGAGAGGAGACAAAGTTCTGGTGGCAGGAATAGTACCATAGAGTAAAACAGAAGAAGTGACCGTTCATGCCAGATGCATTATCCTCACAACGAAAAGATATAGATAATCCCAGTAAAGGATTCTAGCACTCAGGAATCCTGGGGAAGGAGGGTAATAGGACAAAGGGCCAGGAAAATAGCTCAGATAGTGAAGGTCGCCACTGACCCTAAGAGCCAGAGTTTAGCCCCAGGACCACTTGATAAAAGGAGGCAAGCAAACCCTCCAAGTTGTCTTCTGACCTCCACTTATACTCTGTGGCATGTGTGCCCTTATATGGGTACACACACGTGCACATATACATACATGCTGGCATACACATACAACCCCCACACACACACATACACAATAACTAGCTAATTTTTCAAAGATGGGGTAAAGAGCAGGAACCTGAGGACCACCGCACATCCATGTCACGGCCTCAAAGAAGCTCTGCTCCCAGGTCTCTCCTGAGGCCTTTCTCTGCTAAGATTTTCCTTGTAAGAGATTTCCTACGACTTAATAGTGCCAGGTAGCGTGTTTAGTCCTTGTCTTGATTTCTATGCCCAAACTACTTTTAAAAGTTTTTTCATATTATTTTGAAGTTCCCAGCTTCCCTCCACTCTCTCTCATAAATCTTCCAGCTCTCAAATCCATGACCTCTACACAGACACAGACACACACACACACACACACACACACACACACACACACACACACACACACACACACACACACACACACACACACAATTTCTAAATACATAAATGCAACCTGCTTAGTTTAGGTAATATTACCTGTACTTATATCATCTTGGGGCTGGTCACTTGGTATCTGATAACCAGTTGTGGGTTCTCTTTTCTCTCATTCTCATCACTCCCCAGCTCTTTGTCTAGGGTTGCAGCCCTAGGGGATTGCCCCTTCCACTCTAGCATGTCCATCGGTATCTTTGTTGTTCAGGTCTTGCTTAGGCAGCCATGGGAAGAGATCTCATGGGTGTAACCTCTGACATGTCTAGGAGACACACTTCACTTCCGATTCCTCTGGCTCTTACGTCCTTCTGTCCCCACAGTGATCTCTGAGCCTCAGCTGCAGGAATTGTACTGTAGATCTGTCAGTTGGGACTGGATAGAATACGATCTCTTGTTGACTGTGGTTTTCTGTAATGGTCTCTATCTGTTGAAAGATGTTTCTTTGATGAGGGCTGAGAAACTATGCTTGTCTGTGGGCATAAGAATAAATATTTAGAATGTAGTTGGCATTATGCTTTTAGCAAAGTGGTAGTTGCCCAATCTACTTTTGATGCTGTGATAATTTTTGCTTTGTTTACTAGTCTTGAAATTTTTCCCAGCTTTATTGAGTTATAACTGACAAAGTATTATATATACTTGAGATTTTCAATGTGTTGTTTTCATATCAGTACAGTTAGTTCATACATTTATTTGTACAATCTAATTAGCATATCCATCAGCAAACAAAGTTACATGGAAGGAGTTGATTTCATTTAAGGCCTATGTATGTATGTATATGTGTGTGTATGTATATATTATGTTATTCATTGTAGCTACAGAAGTATATGTTAGTCGCTAGCACATATATCTTATACCAAATGTTTTGTGTCCCTTTACCCATATCTTCCCATTTCTGTCACCCCTTAGCCTTTAGCAACCACCATTTTACTCATTTTGTTTTCTTATGTTACTAGAGTCACCTGGTTACAGATGTCACCAGAAAAGTGATTCCCTACAGTATTTGTTTTTCTGTATCTGGCATGTTGACTAAGATTCTGGTTGTTGGTTTTGTTTTTAAGGGACCACCATACTGCTTTCCACAATGGTCATGCCACCGTACTTGTATATCTACCAACTATGGGCAAGGCTTTCCTTCCTCCACACCCTGGCTTCTAATCATTATCTCTTGTCTTTTCAATAATAGCTATCCTAATAAAAGTGAGGAAACTGGGTGTATTTTAAGTTCTGTCCCCTGATGACTAGTGAAGCTGAGCATCTTTTCTTTTTTTTACAGTTCTAACTTTAGCCAAGATATTTCAATTCTATCTCTGTTGTTGAGAAAAATATATATATATATATATATATATATATATATATATATATATATATATATATATATATATATATATATATGTATGTATATATATATATATACATAGTTACACTTAGTTCATTTTTTATTTTTTATATATTTGAATTACAAACAAGATTGAATTACATGACAAACCCAGTTCCCTTCTCCCTCCCATCCTGCCCTACCACCCCCCAACTAAAATCCAATCCTACCTGTCATATGTCCTTTCTTCTAATATACACCAGACTCAAAATTTCTGCTTCCTCATAACCTCTGCATCCTTCCTTTTCTTCCCTTCTCATTCTCGTAGCTTCCTCCCCCCTCTTCCCATGTTCTCAATTTGCTGAGCATCTTTTCATGTACCTGTTACCCATGCATAAATTTTCTTTGAGGACATGGCTTTTGAATGCCTCTTCCTGGCATTTGCTGTGGGATTACGTGATCCCCTTACATACTTCGGATCCTAACCTCTCTCAGATATATGGTTGGCAAGCATTCCTTCCTACTCATAAGCTGGCTTTCTTTTCATTGGCTGCTATTTGATATGCAGAATCTCTTGAGCTTGATATAGTCCTACTTTTTTGTATTTGCCTTTGGGTTTTATGCTATATAGAGAGAAAAATGGAAAAAGCAATAGTCAAGAAGCTTATTCCTTAGTTTCCTTCAGGCATTTCACAGCTTCAAATCCTACATCTAAAAGTCTTTAATTCACTTTGAGCTGACTTTTATATATGGTATAATGGTCCTGTTAGTATTCAGGTATCTTTACTGGCCTGACTTTGGGGTTTTGACAGGATACATCCTGAGCCCCAGCCACTAAGAGCACCTCCTGTGCACACTCACTATGTCCCTTTCAAACGGGCCCTACCCACCCCATCCCTCTTTCTCTCTCCCTGTCTCTCCCTCTGTCTGTCTGTCTGTTCCTCCCCTTACCCCTCTCTCCTCTCTCCTCTCTCCTGCTGTACCTGTCTTTGGAGGCTGGTCTCACCCCCACCCTTTCCCCTCTTTATGATCCCTTTCCCTCATTCAAAAAAAAAAAAAAAAAAAAAAAAAAACCTCTGCTTGAACCCTGTCACATGGCATCTTTCTCTCACATGCTGCCCTTGTTAAATTACAACAAGGTCCAATGTTTTCATATCCATGGAGATACCTGGTTTTTCCAACTCCATTCATGGCATAGTTTCTGTACCTTTGTAAAGATTAGTTAGCTGTATTTGCACATACATACCTGAAAAATATGAGTTTTTCCCCTATGTTTATAAGTCTACTATTTTGTAGTTCTGTGCTGTTTTAATTACTATAGCTTTGTAATAAGGCTTTAAATCACTATGTGATACCCCCAGCTATATTCTTCATTCTCAGGATTACTTTAGCTCTCTGGAATCTTCTGTGGTCCTGTATAATATCCAGAGTCAATTTTCATTTTTCTGTTTTTGTGAAAGTTGTCATTGGAATTTTTATAAAGATAACATTGATTCTATAGAGCTCTTTGGATAATATAGACATTTTAGCAATATGAATTCTTCCTCTCACCTAAATATACATTTTATCTTATTTGTCTCTTCTTTAATTTAGTTTATCATTATATTATGAAAATAATACCATGAGATACAAATCTCTTAGGTATATCTTTCACTTCATTGGTTTAATGTTTTCCTTAATAGTTTTGACGCTATTATAAATGATAGCTCTTCCCTTCATTTCTTTCTCTGTTAGCTAATTTTTAATGTATAGGATCGAAAGTATTTTTTATATGTTGATTGTCTGCCCTGCAACTGTACTAAATGCATCTATTAGTTCTAACAGGTTTGAGGTTGGTTTTGTTTGTTTGTTTGTTTTTGTAGATCTTGTATTTGCTACTTACAAAAATATGCCACATATGTCTTCATTTCCAATTTCCATGTCTTTTATTACATATTCTTGCTTGGTCTACGTAGGACTTCTAGCACTATACTGAAGATGGGTGATAAGATTGGGCAGCCTAGTGCTGGCACTGGGGCTTAGTTCATAAAGTACTTGCCTGCCATTCATGAAGCCTGGGGTTTAGACCCTGGCACCACCCAATCCAAATGTGCATTCCTGTGATACCCGCACTCTGGAGGTGGAATTGAGAAGATCAAGAGTTCAAGGCCATCCTCAGACATGTAATATATTCAAGACCAGCCTGGGCTACATGAGATCCTATCTCAAAGAGAAAAAGAGTAAGCATCCTATTCTTTTCTCCTGATCTAGAGGGATATTTTTCAGTGTTTCATCACTGAGAAGATTTCAGGGTTTGAATAGAAAATGATGGCAAAAGATAACTCATGTAAAGGCAAAGAAAGTCAAGGCATATGTATATCAGAAAAAATAGACCTTAAGTCAAAACTGTAGCAGGAGACAAAATTATTGTAGAAAAGATGCAAGAATGAATTGTGGTCAACCCATTAAGAAAATACAACAATTATAAATATAAAGGAACCTAGTAACAGAGTACAGAAATATATAAGTCAAATACTAGAAAAACTAAAGGGGATACAGATAATCAATACATGTAAATTTTCCATTTATCTCCCAGATATCCACATAAATATGGCTCTTATCCTAAGAAAAGTAAAACAGGAAAATGGAAATGTCCAAGAGAACATGGCAGCAGTTAGGCCAGCTGGATAGACACCCTGCCAGACCTACCTATGCCAACAAAGGCAATTACTTTTTGGTACAGTAAGGGGTCTTACAGAATAAGAGCCTGGGAAAGTTTTTTTTAATTTCATGTATATTTCTGTTATAATAAATGGCATCAAAGTTTTCTTAGAAAGGCAAAGTACTACCTCTCCCATGGCATATAATGCTTTCAAGGGTGTACTGAGAAGATCTTACTTTCAAAGAGGGTGAGTAGCTTTTAAATGGTCCACACATAATTCTGATGTTTATTCCTGGATAAAGCCTACTCTGAACAGCCCATGTGGTATAAAGTAGATCACTATTACAAGATACACAAAGTAAAGCAAAAATTTCATCACTCTTTGACTCAGTCTTCACCAAATATTTTACTAAAAAATTGTGGTAGGGTGGTTAATGTAATGCTGCTTTAATTTATATGACTGACTTCTTTGAGAAAATAACTTTTCATTTTCTAAAGAGCTCCTACACAGCTGTGGAATAACACCTAACAAAACTTTTGTCTGTAAATTGAAATTAAGATGTTTGAGTTAGTAATTGGTACTTAGTGCATTTTTCATACCTCACAAGTGAAATGGGGAAAAGAAGTGAAGGCATTGTTCTTAAGCCTAAATTCTGATCATTTTTTTTACTGGGTGGGACCTAAAGATTTTGGAATCCACTTGTATTTGAAAATGAAATTGCATTTGAAATGGGGATAAATTAATGCTATCCAGAACACATAATTTTTAAAAACTTTTATAAATTACAAGAACTACAACCCAAAAAGAAAAATGAGAAAATTTATTTTTTAAAAAAGAAAGAAACCCAAAGGACTTTTAAAACTCTGAAAAGATGCTTACCATCATGAAAATACAAATTAAAGAACCAAATAGTACTGTCATCTTTCAGGTTGGCAAAAACTAAAACATTAAAAATAAAAAATTGGCATTTCTAAAAAAAATGGCAATAACCTGAGGGACTAGCCATTCTTGTTTGTTAGTGATGGTAGAGTAAATTGGTGTGTCTTTGAAGAGAAAACTGGCAACATCCAGTAAATTTGGATGCACACATTTACCTACAAGTCAGCAACTTCACCATTACGTTTATGCTGTGGCTTTACTCATATACACCAAGAGATAATATTTACTGATACATGGACTTTCATTGTAAGTACTGAATGTCAAAGACAGTCCCAGATAGATAGCAATAGAATATACAAATCAGTATTATATAGTAGTTTAAGTGGGTAAAGCATATTTTCTACTTAGATGCGTTTCAACAACATAACATTAATTTTAAAAAGGAAGTTACAGAATCATGTAGGTGATGATACTCATATAAAACTCCAAAGCATCCCAGAATTATTTATTACTCATGGTACACACATGTCCCAAAGTCATAAATGCAGAGAAGAAGGTAGGCCAGTTCGCTGCCAGCAACTCTGGATTGCTCAAGGGAGTGAAGCCCTCTACCAGAGCCTCTCCAGAAGACAAG